ATTGTAACCACACAAAGTTTTAATTTTAATCAATAACTTAAAAAGCAATTAATTTACATTCGGTTATTGTAACGACACAAAGTTTTAATTTCTAAAAATATAACTTTATTTTAAACACGTTATGAAAAAAGTGTGATATTTTCTATATTTCCAACACGTATTAAAGAAGAAGGATAGCCAGGTTCAGTAGCAGTTTTTTTTTTCGACTTGTCTTTCTCGACTTTGCAATAAAACACCCTTAAGAAGAAAATAATTATTTACAAAATTGGAACCTATAGTAGCAGCTGAGTTGCTGAGAATCTGTTTAATATCCATAATAAATAGGTAACCGGCTAAACTGGCAGTTAACTCGTTCAAAACATAATACTACTGTTTCTCTTAGAGAGGGTTCAACCAATCCTTTCGCTGATGGTCTAACTTCATGATAAAAATAACTTTCGCAAAAACTATTTTAAATTCATAAAAACATTTTTTTGTTATTTAAAATAGTAAAAATATGTAATAAATAATAATACACAATAAATCATTTCTTTAAACCCGGGATCGAAAGAGCTAGCAAAAAATGTATGCAAACTTGAACACAAGACACATGTAACTAAGGTGTTATTTATAATGTGCCGGTAAAAGGTTTCGATACCGGTAACCGAACAAGAACATTATTATAAATTCTGTCGTATGTACGTGAATGTTGTGTTCATTTTTGCACGCACTAATACACATAGAATGGCTACCCTTTTTAGTCCCTGCTTTAAAAGGCACAGCAATTAATCTAGGCACTTCCAACAGTACAGCTGAGATCATATTATAACATTGGTTGTACAAAATTTAAAAAAATAACTGACCAACTGGAATATATCAAAGTAGATACTTTATTCACCGTGGCTTATCTATATACAAAGGGAGAATGCTGCCAGCATTTTGATCACCCCATTGTTACCGGAACCCAATTTCCTTAGTACAGGGACCCAATTTTATTGTTACCAGAACCCAATTTCTTTGTTACCAGAACCCAATTTCATTGTTACCGGGCCCCAATCTCATTGTTACCGGAACCCAATGTCATTGTTACTGGGACCCAATTTCATAATTTTTTCTAGCTCTATGTTAATCATCTTCTTGGTTCTTAAGTACAACCAGCTAAGATATGGTTGGATGGTTTTGCTACACTCGGTATTATGACAATAAAAAAACACGCAAAGAGGAGTCGAATGCGAAAATATAGCAATAAAAACCTTTTATACGTTCGATACTAAACTGAAAGAAAGCGTCCACCCACCTGACAAAGGCAAGTAGGTAGGTACCTATTATAAAATATGTATCTATGCTATTAGGGAGTAAAGGGAAAGAAAAATAATGTTTCGGTATTTTTCTTAATAATTAGATTTGTTTATTAACCCCGGACGCAAAAAAAGTCTAGTTATAAGCTTAAAGCTCTGTTTATGTGTGTATGTTGATCTGTCTATGGCATTCTAGCACCCAAACAGAGGGACTGATTTCAAAGCTTCTTTTGTAAGGAGGCAAATTTAATCAGTATGTTTCTTAGCTATATTTAATGAACACCTGTTCAGCTGTTTAAATAAAGATCATCAGTTCTTTTACCATTTAAGCGAATAACTCACTGAAAGCGGGTGCGGGTCGGGCGCGTGTAGGCTCGGGAGCGCGGCGGATGTAATTCCGTGTATTTATATGGACAAACCACACGCGGGCGCGGGACGGGCGCAGATCAAGTCCCGCACCTGTCAATGTCAATCGGATGATATTACAGTATTATGGTAACCCTTATCTGTGTAACAGTTCGACCTTGAGAGCGTTCTTATTCCATGTAGGTATAATAGTAGCGGAGTTGTAGGTGGAACTGTTGCACTTGATATGCCGCCAACTGTTCGCTGCCGCGCGTAGACGTCTGCTAAAATTAAACCTTATAAATACATTTACAATAGCGAAATAAAAAAAACCACAAGCAAAACTGCAAACTCTAACTAAACTAGCTAACTTTACTCGAAGTTCACATATAAAGCGTACGACGGCAGGCGAGCAATAAAATCAAATGGAATCTCCCGCCGCCCCACTCCATCCGGTGGGATGGGTAGAATGGGTGGGAAGGTGGGCTGTGTGTGTGTGACGTCCCGCATTCAATTCCCGTAAATTGGCAGATAGGTAACCCCTTTATTATGTTCGTTTTATGTTTTGTTTGTTTGAAACTGTAGTTTGTTGGAAAAGGAATTAAATCAGAGAGAATCTAGTTAACTGCATTGGTGAATACGTAAGAAAGTTTTATCGTATATGGTTATAGGAGGGACACAGTGATCATTTTGGACACCCTGCATAAGGATCTAATTCAATTCACGTAACATAGCCCTAGTCCTAGTATGTACGCATCAATGCATGTAATTAAGCTCTTTCACAGTCAAATATTTTATAGATCAAATTACACTTGAAATCATCATATTGATTAAGCAAAAATACAGACAGCCATATCTACACAAAGATTGAGAAGAAGAGGGGAAGAGGTCGATCTAGCCGCAGCTACATAGGCCAAATAAAGGAAAAGGCCGGTGTCGTGTCGTGGAAGGAAGTCAAGGAGCTGGCTTAATAAAAATATAATAATAATAATAAAATAATAATAATAATAAAAATATAATAGAGATGACTTGAAGATGCTCAACCGATAAGAGTACTAGGCTTCAGACTTATAACTCCCATGTTTTTGCGTCAGAGATAAACAATCATCTATAATAATAATTATAACTTTTTATCAAGTTCTTAGGTTTTCGCGAATGTTACACATAGGAAATGAAACTATTTTTCCGCATTTAAATTGCGTATATTTGTTTTTTCCAACAAACCAACGTTTCGGGCTCTTTACATATCCCATGGTCACGGTTGATTGAGAGAAAAAAATAATCGTTTTCAAACAAATTAAATGACATTTCTTCTCTATTTCTGGCTATATACTCGATGTCCTAGCCCTACTGGTGTATGCCATCGACACGATAAAAAGAAGGCTAGTTACGTAAGCACATTCTTTATAAGGATATCGTGGGCTAAATTTAAAAACACCGTAACTCCGTTTTTAGACGAAATCCCCTTTTTACTCTTCAAGCGGAATATTAGAAAATTAAAGCTTAAAATATATTTTCTAAAATAATTTAAGTCTAATATAAGTTGTAAAATAAGGGTATAATCATATATATCGTCATATAATTATACCTAGGAGGTTATTCTGTATTTTGTGCCTACTCAAAAGTTCACATTAATGGAAGTGCGAACTTAAACTCAAATGTTCAATCTCAAATCATCTTTATTTCATACACTCGAAATCGCCATATTGATTAAACTCTACTGCTGATTCGTAAGACCGATTCCCATGCGAAAAATGAGCAAGAAACTCTATTGGTTGCTCTTTGTAAATAAACATTTGCACATATCGAGTTCTTAGGTTTTCGCTATTGTTACACATAGGAAAAGCAAGTACTTTTCCGGATTTAATTTAGGTATATTTGTTTTTTCCAACAAATAAACGTTTCGGGCCCTTTACTTGTCAACCGTGACCATGGGACCTGCACATGGCATGGCAAAGTCTTCAAAAGTAGGTAATTACTTTCCAGCCGGTGGAGCTGCTATATAATATATAACACAACAGTGGTTAAACCACCAAGTATTTATTAATGAATTACTTTTTAGGATTCAGTTAAAACAAACTATTGCTCATAGGAAATGTTTACTTTGGGAAAAGATTAGTTATCTAGTCCATTTTTTTTCATGGCGCTACTAGAATTACTTTAAATTCCAACTCCTAAGCAAATAGTTTATCCTACGATGCAGTAAAATGATTTCCGAAACTTGAAAAAGTAGGGGAGCGTGGGGGAATGGGAGCCTAGTAAGGAAAATTGATAATAAAAGTCATAATTTATGCGATTAAAATTTTTATTAGTTATGAACGTACGCTTCACATATTTGGGTACTAGATAATCACAGATAAACTATAATATTCGGTTAAAAAGAACAACTAAAACATGTCATTCGCTCCCATTACCCCACAGTTCGGGAAATGGGAGCCGGTAAGAATCCCGTATCAAATGAGAGCCATTATATATAATCAGTCTGAAAAAAAATAATTAAAGGAATTAAATATATAAGTTAAAAAGTAATGAAAATAACCAAGAAAGTGTTAAAAGAATAATGCAATGGGATAAAGTGAGTCAACTAGCTCTCATTACCCGCGTAACATCGAATTGAAAAAGGAATAAAACACTAAAAACACATCTATTTTTATTGTAATTTTAAGCATAACTTCCAAAATTTAATAGCTAAGGTGACATAGCTAGTGTAAATACAATGTAGTACTTGTAGTAATTTGTCAAATTTTATAAGTGCGGACCGAAAAACACACAACCATCTCATATGACTAAACGCGGGGTTCTACGGGGGCGCCCACAGGACTCGAACCTTGGCGAACGTTAACGAAGACATAGGAGTACCGTTTGCACAAATACGAGCATTAGGAACGTCCAGTTTGACACCGCTCTCATTACCCGCGGGCTCCCAATACCCCACGTTCCCCTAATTATTTAATTGTCCACATTATCTGTCTCTGCCGCCAAGCACTAACGTCAGCATTACTGTGTTCCGGTTTTGAAGGGTAAGGGTGCTAGTGAAATTACAGGCACTTGGGACTTGTCAACTCATGTCTAAAGGGTGACGGGCGCAGTGGCAATGACCCTCAGATCTTTGCGATTTAAAACTCTGAATGGCTTTGCAACTGTTATGCACAGGCGTGTAGCTTTCCATTAGGCGTACGACTTGTTCGTCCCGTCATCAGATACTATAAAAAAAATTTGGTGGTTTATAATTTAATATAACCACCCCATGTCACTGTTTGTATCTATGTGTAGATATTTATCATATTTATCTACTCATTTGGAACAGTCAATTGTAGCATACCCGCTAAAGGATACTGTGAGATTGTAAGGTATATTTAAAAAGATTATTTGTCGCAGCGGTGCAAAACGAGAGACAGCCACGGAACACAGCGACCATTAGGCCCGAAACACTTCGCGATATGGACCAAGAAAGAGCACTGAGGGAAGCTGCCGTCGCAGTCGGAGTGTTTGGGTAAGTCACTTATATTGTTCCCGGGATTCGAAATTATAAAGATATTTATTTTATCTCATAATTATCATTAATGTTATTTGATAATTTTCCGACATATAATATATCCAATAATTTTCCATTGGTGATTCATATTTTTGTTTCTTTAATTTTTGACTAAAAAGTACAAACAGTGAGAAAACTAAATAAGAAAAATCTTAGCGAAAACGATTTAGTTTGCGACTTTTTTTGAGTTTGACATTTGACACGATTGAATACGTCTCTGGGGGTCTACTTTCGCTCTTTGTCCGACATTCGTCCGCAACAATTTTTGTCAAATAAGTGCTCGACCAAATAAAAAAAACCATGTCATATATGAAGCTTCATTCGCATCATGTGCAATTGATGTGATTTTCTGGCACATTAATATAAAAAAAAATAAAAAAAAAACAAAACTGTATATATAGTATATATACGTACTATGACGCAGAAGCTGTACATTATATAGCTTCTGCGTACTTGGATGACAAGAAGCCGTGGTAGTGACCCTTTTAACTCTTGCAGGTAGCATCAATCTATCTATCTTAACTGCCTCCGTGGCCGAACGGTTACCATGCCGGACTGCCACACAGAGGTCTCAGGTTCGACTCCTGGACCTGAAGAAATATTTGTATGACCTACATTTATTTCTCTCGTGAGTTTGAGTGTAATTTATGGTTGTCTATGTCTGTGTCCATGGTATCTGCGACACAGGGTTTCCCTAGTGCGGGGTTATGTTGAGTGTGTGCGTTATTTTATCTAAGAAGATTTTTGAAATAAATATTGTAAATGTTAAAAGCATTCAAATGTATATTTAAAAAAGCAACTCTGGTGTTTCTTGAGACCCAAAGTAAGCAGCTAAAGCACTAGTGTTACGGAAATGGGAAATAACGACGGTACCACGAACAATTAGACCAGAGACAATATAGAAAAGTTAGTTTTTCTACACTGACCTGGCCAGGGTTCGACCCTGGGACCTCAGAGATGGCGACACCAAGAAAACCGGTCTACAAGCCACTCGACCACGCAAGCCGTCAAATATGTCGATTTCAGTGTAATTTGCTTACCTGTGAAATAAAGATGATTTGAATTTTTGCTGATGATGAAGATGATATTATTTGCTGCTAGTTCGTAGTGAGATAGTAAAAGATCCCTGTAATTTTTCTCAAGCTTGCTCGGTGCCTAAAGAAAATCTCGGCATTTAAACGCACCCTTCTTACAAAAACAAGGCTCCCCTACCCAAGAGCCCCATAAAAACACCATAACACGTGACAAACACTAGCATTTATTACATCTGCATTTGAATTCGTATGATTTACTTTACACGGCTCTACACTTTCGCAGATTGCTCGTTTCACAACCAAATGTGGCCATGGAATACTGTTTTTATGGGAATATGAAAGTATGTGAATGAAGTTCTTATTATGGAGATTGCGAAACGCTGTCTAATTCATAAGTCTGGTATGCTAAAAGGTCTATCTCTAGATTAATGTTGAACTTACTTACGTAACTGTAACATTGATTTTATTGAATACCATGTTTTTCTTACCATGATAAATTCATATACACTCATCTAAAGTGTCTAGGGATCAAACACGTGTTTGCTAATTACTGAAAATTAGGTTTTTTAATAATTTTTTTAACAGTAATGGAGGCGTTTCTGGTATTCCGTCCGTAAATCATGCGGTACGCATCGAGTGCAAAATTTCCTAATAACCTTCAGATGCACATGCAATATTTTTGCACTTGACTCATTCCAATGCCTAATACAGTACAAATTTGCTGACAAGTATTTTTTTGTCAGTTTCAATCAGTTATTGCACGGTATCAATTATTGAATTCTGTAATGTGAATTCACAGACATTGTTATGGAGGTGATCACGTCCACGTCTTAATTCAGTGCACCACGAATAAACAGAGCTACGACATGGGGCTTCATCACCAAATGGCAATTGAAGTCTCGGACAACTCTCTTATTGACTTAAGCCACATCGAAAATCGTAGAAAATCATGGACCAAAAATTTTCGCGACTGAAATTCACTGTAATAGCGACTCACAGTTTTCAAAACGACACCACAATGAAAAAACAAATGACAGTCTTATAAAGTAAAAAGGAACCGACTTCAAATTTCGTATTTGTATTTTTTGTTTCTTTTATGTAAGTGTCCAGTTCTAGGAACTTTCAGTATCCCCCACCAGGCGCATGACTTCTTCGTCCCTTTACTTGGTATTATAAAAAAAAGAGATTTATTGAATATACAAACCGCAGAAACCATAATTAAGGCTAACTATTAAACAATAAAACAATAACGTGGACAAAAAGATGAAGATCTGCACTTATAGCTATTAGGTTGATGCTGATGCGGACTGCGTACTAAACACCAAAAACGCGAAACATGAAACGTCTGTCGTCTGTGCATATTCATATTCAAGTTCGAATATGCCATAGAGCCTGTGGCATATTCTTTAGAATACGCCATAGGCTCTTACCGTTTGTGACAACCGACTACTAATATGAAAAATTATACTTTTCCAATAACTAAATACCTCCAGTTCAGTCTCAAATAGAAATGTTATACACCTGAATACCCCTTTCGCTAGAGATGAGTTACTACGTCATGTTAGACAGTCACCCTTTGCTAGTACATCACGATGGGCAGTCACCCGTTCCGACTCCACCTTTGATCACGGCAAATGCTCGCCCCGGCTTGAAACTTGATCGTCATGCCTCGCCGGCTTGACGTCACTCGTTGCTTTTATCATTTTGTATCACAAATTTAACGCTGGCTCATCAAGAGAACATAAAGCCTGACACTTTGGACCAATCTTATCGAAAGCGGTATAGAGTCGCATTTAAAAATGTATATCGAAATATACTACATGAAATGACAACACCCTATAAAATCAGTCAGCCAGACAATGGGACCTGGAGGTTTATCACGAAATACGAAGCAACGATCATCGTTTTAGTTTAGTATCGGACCGGAGGCGACCAGGAAACGCGTACGAAGATCGTGATTTAACATAAAAATGACAGCTTTCGCATTGAATTTTGACATTACTTTCGTCGTAAAACTGACATATGTAGTACGTATGAGCTTCACGTAGTATCGTATTTCGTTCTGTAAACAGCAAAAAATGTTGGTTTGTTTGAAAAAAAACAAGTATCCTACGGGACTTAGACCCGAGAAAATATTTTCAATTCCAATTGCTAAAACTTTGGAACTCTATTAACACACTATAAAGTCCGATGCTACCTGCAAATTGAACAGTCTGTTACAATCTACGGTTCTTCTCGTATCGATAGAATACATTGTAATACTTGCCATCGTGGTGACCGCCTCTTTATCAGGTGAGATAGAGGTCAAATGTGCACTTATTTTTAATAAAAAATAAAAGATTTGCCAATCTCTCACCGATTGTTACATAGGGTGCGCCAGACGTACACGAAAGGACGGGGAGGCCCCTTTCGTACACCCCATATCTAGGGTTGGTATATAGAACTGGCTTATCAGTCTCTATCGTCTTACGGTATCGGCAGTTGGATATATCCACAACTCTAAAAATCCAATTCAAGTTTCTTTTACCTATCGTTTTTGGCATTATCTTTGATTATACTCGTTACAGCAAAACCTGATAAGGTATTCACATGTCACTGGAACGTCATCACCTCATTGTTACTATTAGGGTTTTCATTACGAATAATAGTAAGAATAACATAAGGACTTCTTATTGTCCTCGTAGCTGCACGAAGTTTATATTTTCTAAAAAGTCTCTATAACTGTTCGTCACGAAGAAGAGCAGCAAAAACAAAGCGCTCACTTCTCAAACGGGCAGCAGGTTCTTTGACTTCTCTCGCGGAAACTCAAAGCTTCTTTTGTGCCAACGACACCTTTGTCCTTGCTTTGACTTTTTTCAACTCTTTGTTCAGTGGAAATGTTGTACCTTCTGTGTACTACCTTAGATGAAAATCTATATAGGTATTGAGGTAAACATTGTTAACAAATGTTTTATAGTTTTAAATACTTTTATTGCTGTTACACGCGGTAACCTCTTCAGCGGGGACATAAACTTAACGAGTTTGCAGATGTCCTTAAAAAAGGCCCTGTAAGGTGGTTTTCCACCGGCGAGGCGAGGCGAAACGAGGCGAGACGAGGATTGAAATTTGTATAACAAAATTTCAATTCTCTCCTTGCCCATCTTCGGTGGACATGGTCTGGATTGACGAGGATGGGCGAGGCGAGAATTGAAATATTTGTTGGAGTAATATTGAACCGTATTGCTGCCTACATAGAGTATTATGCTACTGCCACCTTACTACTTCTGCTGTCACGCAGTAATGTGAGTTTGAAGGATGTTGATGAAATTACAGGCACATGGAACTTGTCAACTCATGTCTTATGCTCAACTCACATTGGCGCAGAGTCGAAGCGTCGCGTCGCGTCCTGTTTTTCAACTACACCGACTACGGCGAAGAGCGACGACCCTCGCATTAGTGCGCCGGGATCACAGTGTGGTCGGCGTCTGACGCCTCGCGGCGCCCAAGTGATGCGCGACGACACTCGATTCCATATTTGCAAAACACAATATTGTGCCTCAATAATGGGAAAGCTGTGAGTTGAGCCTTAGAGTGACGGGCGCATTGGCAGTGCTCCTCAGTTTTTCCTCAGTTTACCACCAGGCGCACGACTTGTTCGTCCCGTCTCTTGAAAAAGACGAACAAATAATGATTCCCTACATTCTATAGTAAAAGTTGTATGACGTGTCTCCACTAGGTTCAACAAAACTAAAACGTCCCTAGCGGTCACAAGAACAAACAACATTATGTATACAAACACTTTACGCGGTCGCTAGCGATAACTTTTACTATAATCTCATGGTAAGAAAGAAAGAAAAACGTTTATTCATTAAATTGAGTCACTATACACACTTAAATATAATATTTAATACGGAAACAACAAATGACTGCGTGATTAATTGCGTGAAGTTAGTAATTGTGTATAGTGGCGCAAAAGAAGAAAATGATACGACTCAGCAACTGTATACGTTTGGGGAACTGTATACGTCTTTACAATAAGATTCCGGAGCATATATTAAGATTACCATTTCCTAAGTTTAAAACTTATATTAAAGTTATTAATTTGAAAGTCATATTACAAAATTGTAGATTACGTGTTAGATAAAGATGTATGGAAAGACAAGAAGAAGGAGTCTAGATTCCACACAAATATGATTCAAAATGTATATCTATCTATAATATCTATAGCATTTAAGTTTATTTGAAAAGAGCCATCCCTAGAGGTTCTTGCTCGTTCTTCTCAGAGAGGTCAGCGTAGTAAATGAGCAGTAGCTTAAAAAATGACGTTTTAAGTGTAAAAAGTTTGGAATATATGATTATTTGACCTCGGGCGAGACAGGCGCTGATTTTCAGTCGTCGTGGTAGAGGCACTGCTGTCTTGCCATATGCAATATTGACGAGCATTATCATTATATAAGTAAACATTCGAGATCTTCTGTAACGAAAAGACAATTCCCGGGCCGGGTGAAATTTTGTATGGCCTACATTGATTTCTTTCGTGAGTTTAGGTGTAACTTGTGGTTGCCCATGTGTGTGTCCATCGCACCCGCGATACTGGGTTTCCTCAGTGCGGGTCTATGAATTTGTGTGATTACATGCATGTGAAATCAATCGGAACATACTTATTATTAAATAATATTTTAACAAAATTAAAGAAAGAAAGACAGAAAGAAAATTTTATTCAGTACCATTCATTTTAAATTGTACTTACAAAATAAACAAAAATAAATTAAAACTAAAATTAAGATATTCAATGGGCAACACCCAGTCAGAATAGCCACGGCGCTGGTATTAAGTGGAGCCCATGGGGTGCGTCACAGGCGCACCAAACAAACACCACCCACGAGACATTGCCATTTTTATGTACGCAATCAAATACACACAATTAACAAATAGTGTGTTATGTAATGACTAAATAACAAAAAGGGGAGGTGCTAACCCAAATTTATGTATCATTTTCATAATTTATCACATATTCATAATTTATTAATATAATTATTATGTAAGTAAATACCATGAATTTTTAATTCAAATATCATTAGATTCAACACGACTCAATTTGTTACTACGATAACTAATCTAAAATAGAAAGAAACTACATATTTTGCTAACTATAAGGTGAGAGTAAAACTTATAAAGGAGTATGGTCACATAATATAAATACAAACATACCTACACATATACATTACTTACTTATATACTCGCATCACACGTTGCCGGCAACCTTGTCGTTAATCGAGCATGTAAAGGTAATACTAGTGTAGGAAGCGGAGTTGTAAGATGTAATACACTGACTTATGTATTTGTATCTTCGTTCCAGTCCTCCGGTATCACTGGCCATGGCTCTCTCACCAGCGCGGTACCCGTTGCTGTCTCCGCACTACGCACCGCTGCCGCCGCCAGCGCCGCAACCACCTCAGCCCGACTCCTCACACGAACACAACGGAAACGAAGATCCACGGCATACGGATAGTGATGGTAAGATGACTTGCTTAGCTTTACCCGGCTATGGCAAAGTAGTTTTGCGTAGGTACTTATTTACTTTGATATGTGTATAGGGGTCGATAAGTAGGTACAATCTGTACACATAATTGAAGCCACCTCGCATTTTTAGCATTAAATGCCCTTAATTAAAAGAAATATTGATCAAAATTTAATGAAAAATAGAAACTGGCATAGTATAGTACGCACAGCGCATTCTGCGAGCTGATTATCATGATATAAACATTTAATAGCCTAATTTTCAATATTGCGAACATTTAAAATTAACTAATTTCTTTTTTTACACCACGATATTACGGCAATTTCTACAGAAAGTGATAAAACAAGTGTAAATGCTAACTGTTACAAATGAAGGTTCTTCGAAGGCAAAGTATAGAAGACAAAGAGTTTAACGTCCAGTGTCAAAAATCAAAATGGCGTATTCAGAACGGGTGTGAGTTTTGTACCGACCGAGTTTTTGACCATGTAGGTACCAATACACTAACAATTTTTCATTTGATGTTATTTTGTGTGGCACTACGCGTATATATAGATAAGATATACATAAATCCTTTTTTCAATTTCTTATTTTGAGTCGAGGTAATATTTTGCATTGACAGACGACAGCATCGACGTCACTAATGAAGAGGATTCCACATCATATTCACCGCCTGCCGCGGTGTACCCTCAGAACTGTGCACCTTATAGGTATGCAAAGTTAATTATATCTACGTGTTCTTTAAAAGCTGATGCAATTATAATAGTAAGTAAGAAAGAACGAAAGAAAAAACATTTATTTGTCTATCACAAATGACACCACGTAAGAAAATGAGAAGGAAAACAGAAATAATCTCAGTGCAGAGTACTAAAAAACCGACCTCAAAAGTATGTGGAATTACATATAATTACCATGTTTTATTAAAATCTACCGTATAAATACCGGAGTTATCGCGTAACATACAACCTACAAAAAAAAACATACAGTCGCAATGAGAACCTCCTCCTTTTTTGAAGTCGGTTAAGAAATTGTTAAAAACTTCCAAAGAATTACACACAATACACAAATTAATAAATAATTGTGAAAAAATATCAAGAACAAATGAAAACTATATTAAACCACAAATTATTTACATAAACAAAAACAACATTGCGTGGTGCTCACAGATATAAATATGAAATAACTTTCTTATAAAAAAGACCTACCTCAAAAATTCGTGGAATTACCTCTATTTGCCAAGTTTTATTGAAATCGGATACCGGAAAGTGTGCGAAACCGGATTCATCCCCTACTTTACCACCCTTAGAGGTGAAACATATTCTTCAAATTTAAATGGGTCCAATACTCAAAATCGGTTCATAAATACTTAATCGCGTAACGACCGACAAAAAAAAACAGTCGAATTGTGAACCTTCTCCTTTTTTTACATCTTACTTATGCAACTAATATAATCGCAAAAATGTTATTGTTATAACATAAACATAAATAATATTAATAACAATAGCACTTTGATTCTAAATCGAGTACCTATAGATACTTAAAAAACTTGAGATTTATTTAAGTACATAGGGCGCACTATAAGTTTCCGGAACTGGCCACTTACATAAACAATATTTAAAAAGTAATTACAACATTTGAAAATGGCACTCTTTGACTGTAGAATACAGTTTGTTTCATCTGACTGTCACTTGTTTTTACGTTGTGGCGTCATTTTAGAAATTGATTGTCTACATCAGCATGGATTTAACTCGTGAAAATTTTCGTAGTATGATTTTCTACGACTTCAAGTGTTCTGCTTCAAACTGCTTTTGGCGATGAAGTACCATTCACGACGACTATTTACAGCTGGTTTGCAGAATTCAAACGCGATCGTGTGAATCTCAGTGATGAATTTCGTGATGGTCGCCCGTCCGCTGCTGTCAACAAGAAAAACATCGATGTTGTGCGCCGTATGATCAAAACAGACAGGCATGTGACATACCATGAGATTCGGACATCTTTAGGCATAGGCATGAGTCAAATACAATCACTACACAAACATTTGGGTGTGGAAAAGCTGTGCTCTCGGTGGATCCCACACAATTTGACTGAGGCTCAAAAAACGAATCGCGTCACTTGGTGCAATGCCATGCTTCCAGATTCAACAAAGGGGCGTCAAATTTGGTGTGGGACATAGTAACAGGTGACGAAACATGGTTTTATATGTAGTTACGATCCCAAAACAAAGCAGCAATCGAGCGTCTTTCGAGATGAGCCGAAACCAGCCAAAGTGGCGCACGTGCAAAGTGCCTCTAAGCGGATGATTGCTTCTTTTTTTAATAAAACTGGACACGTGGTTACTGTTGCTTTGGAGAATCGTTGTACCGTGAATACCTAGTGATTGGTACGCGACCATTTTTTTGCCGGAAGTCATTGACAAACTCCGTAAAAGTAACCGTAAACACCGTATCATCTTGCACCACGATAATGCCAGTTCTCACACGGCCAAACAGACAAATTAATTTTTGAAGATGAACAACGTTGACCTTGTGAGCCATCCCGCGTATAGTCCCGACCTGGCACCTTGTGACTTTTATTGATTTCCAAAAATTAAGAACCAGTTACGCGGTCAAGGATTTTCATCTCCTGAAGAGGCTGTCGAAGAGTATGAAAAATATGTTTCAGAGATTGTCACGGAGGAGTGGCATAAATGTTTTCAAAATTGGTTCATTAGTACGAAAAAGTGCATTAACGCTAACGGAGAATATTTTGAGAAACAATAAATTCATTTCTGACCATTTATAGTATTTTTTTTGTTAATTATTCCGGAAACTTGTCGTACGCCTCACGTATATATTCAACTATCTCTGTGGTCGAACGGTTACCATGCTGATCTGCCACGCAGAGGTCCTGGGTTCGATTCCCGGGCCGGGAGTAATATTTGTATGGCCTACATTTACTTCTCTCGTGAGTTTGGGTGTAATTTGTGGTTGTTTATGTGTGTGTCCATGGCACCCGCGATACAGGGTCTGAGTGTGTGCGTTATGTAAAAAAAATTATATCTAGGAAGGTTACAGCACACGTTCACAGCGTCGCGTGGCATAAACGCGTACATACATTTTCAGACCACTAGGCGTAGAGAGCGCTGCAGAAACAGCAGCTAGATTGCTGTTCATGGCCGTCAAATGGGCCAAGAACCTGCCCTCGTTCGCCAGCTTGGCTTTCAGAGACCAGGTTAGTTTGGTTTAATTAAGTTTTCACCTGCTTTCTGTTGTCTGCCATAATAATGTGATTATACGTCAAAAGGACTATTATCTCACGAATATCATTACAATAATATGCACTACTAAAATAAACCTGAATATTATTATCCCGATACAATATGCGCTACGAGCTACTTTGTAAGCGTAAGCTCTGTTTTTAAAATATAAATTAATTATTAGTTGTACTTTAAATTCAATTTAATATTAATTCTTAATTAATTCATTCATTAATAATAATTATCGGTTAATAAAATTAAATATAATAATTTAAATTATTAACGGGTCCATACCTAAATAAAGAAACATTTTATTTAATCATTAAAGAAATATTTTTAGTGCATTAATTGAATATATACTAAAAATACTGTAAGCGTCATGCAAGTCTTGCAAAACACTTTTGGAAATAATTTTACATTCTGCTCATTGGGATTTTTCAGGTGATACTCCTAGAAGAAGCGTGGTCGGAACTATTTCTTCTAAACGCAATACAATGGTGCTTACCGCTGGACGCAGCCTGTACTGCATTGTTTGGCAGTGAGCAGACTGATCAAGGTATGTTATTTCTAGTTTGTACCACCGCACGAAATTCTAGGGGCACGCAAAACCCCTTACCTAAGCTTATTAACCAAATTCAAGTGAGAAACTAACCCGAAAAGATTATAAATGTAGCTTATATAATAGCTTACGGTTTCAATGTATAATATAATATATTATATAATAGCTTTATTTACAATATGTTATGGAACGCAATAACAGTTGTAATGTAAATTAATATAATATAATTTTGAATATAATATTAATGTAGTTAATAATGTTTAGCAAGTTATAATTTTGGCTACACTATAGTTGCTAGCTTATTATGCATGTAAAATAAATAAATAAATGTGGGCAGAGTAGTAATTTATTAAAAATGTTAAACAATGCCTACAATAAAAGTAAGAGCAAAACATTTGTGCTAAATTATTGCGTATGCAATATAAGTAGTTATGTTGGTTTCTCATCATCGTATCACGTTGGATTCTTTGTAGCTCGTGCTGTTTTTAATTGATTCATTAAATGGTGAAGGAAAACATCGAAATCTGCATGCATGCATCGTAAAAACAGAGCTTGTAAAAGAGTTCTTCCAGAGAAGTACTGCCATCTTACCTATTTCTACCTACCTTATGTCTCCGGGTGACAGGCGCAGTGCCAGAGCTCCTCAGATCTTTGCGATGTAAAGCTCTGAGTGGCACTGCAACTGTTATGGACAGGCGTGTCGCTTACCACCGGGCGCTCGAATTGTTCGTCCTGTTACTAAGTATCATAAAAAAAATGTCGAAGAAAGTTTATCTTCCACCCGTATTGGAATTACTTCACATATTAATTGCACACAGTCGACACCGACTTCATGCAGCCGAGATCGACTGCATGCAGTTAAATATGACGTCACGCATTAACTGCAAACATGAAGTCAATCAAAGCAGCCTTAAGAGTCTATTCTACCTCAAATAACTTTGATTGATTCCGCATGACAGTGAAAGTGTTGAATCTATCACTTTGAAAAAAAAAAATTGTAAAATTGAGGATTTACGCTGATTACTATATGGTGTTAAAACACATACAAACTTATCGCGAAATTTTACAAGAAAACCGCTGTATTCAATAACTTTATATATCGCACTACTATTACAATAGTGTTGTAACTCAAAAAATGTGAAATTCAAGATTGATGAGATATTTCTGAACGTAAAATTTCTTTCTCTACATGTCATTAAAATTGTCATTAGAATATTGTAAGAAACCATTAAAATATTTCTACTTAACCCAGAAATAGACAAACGTTTTGTGAGCTAGTTCAGGACAAAACAGTCCTTACTCAAAAATATAAAATTACTTTTCACTTATTTTTAAATATATTTCTATTTGGCAAGTACGAAATTGTTCAGATGTCTAATAAATTTTAACCTATACATAAATTATAATAATCTTTCACGAGAACTGAGTAATTAGTTTTTCAGCTATACTAAATAAATTCACATTTTGAGTTAATACACTATTGTATTAGCAATGCGATATCGACTCATCCGTAGCACAAACACCTATGTGCAAGATGCTGCTTATTCTCGGGACATTGTACATTTCGTTCATTGTTCTTGACTGCGGATATCCACAGTCAAGATCAACTGTTCTTCGATTTTATATTCCCGAAACGATACAACGAATATATAAAAAACCTGAAGACACCTTTATATAGGCCTTTTGAATGACGAGATTATGTTGTAACCTCTTTTTGCTGTATAATGACATCGCACTTTGTACTTCGGATGAGTCGACACGTAGAAATGATTTTTTTATATGAACTGAACTAAATAAATACTCAAATATTCGTTTTAAATAGTTTGAGATAGAGCACAAAATCCTCTTTTAAAAACAGTTAAAATTGAGTTCTCAGGTTTTCGCGATTGTTACACATAGGAAATGAAACTATTTTTCCGTATTTAAATCGCGTAGACGACGTTTCGGGCCCTTTACAGGTCCCATAGTCACGGTTGACGGTGACCACAAATTGAAAAATACAACAACAAAAAATTCGTTTGAAAAACAAATATACGCGATTTAAATCCGGAAAATTTTTTTCATTTCCTACAGTTAAAATTGGTTAACGTGGTCGACTTATCGGAACTTACCCTAACTTCGCATAGCTGAAGTATCATTAAACAATTTATTATTCTAAAACTGGGTTATGGTTTTTTATGATAACTCAAAAATTATTTTTTCACTTAGCCTTATTTTGTCAATACGACATACGTTTCTCAAATGGCTTTAAATTCGTTTAAAAAAAATTCTGAAATAAAGCCAGCGTCTCTGCCAAGCAAAATGAACCTTATTAGTCCGGGAAAAAATTAAATTCGAGCTGAGCTAGTATCAACTCTTAATGCACTGACCGTGTTCGGTGTGCCGCAGAGAACGGCACCAGCTCGGCTACGCTGCGGCGCCTGCGCGAGGTGCTGTCACGCTACCGCACCGTGCTGGTGGACCCCGCCGAGTTCGCCTGCATGAAGGCCATCGTGCTTTTCAAGTCTGGTGAGCAACTGCATCTACTTAGATATTAGAGTGACCGACGCTGCAACGAAACCGAACTTCCATTCAAAATTCTTGCATAATTTGACTTTTTGCCTCCGTAGTCGAATAGCTTGCATGCCGGTTTTCATGGTGTCGCCATCTCTGAGGTACCGGGTTCGATCCCCGGCCGGGTCAGAGTAGAAACAAACTTTTCTATATTGTCTCGGGTCTGGGTCATTTGTGGTACATCAGTTGTGGTGTCGTTGTTTCCGATTTCCATAACACAAGTTCTTTAGTTACTTACTTTGGGATTCCCTGCCTGCAGACTTGTTCCCTGAACGTTATAACTTGGGCCTTTTCAAGGCGAGATTGAATAGGCATTATTTTGGTGTGCATGCTCATTGTCACTTTCCATCAGGTGAGATGGAGGTCAATAAATGTGCACTTACATTTTATAAAAAAAAATTCTTAAACAAATATTATTTGTAATTTAGTTACCAATTCTTCTAATTACCCACTTATTCTTACAAGATGTCGTGACGCTTGGACGTGCATAAACTATTCTTCTTAACACACTAGAACTTTCTAATTCACACTATATCCACGCATCTACATTTAACAAATTTCTGGACATTGCTAAATGCACATTTGACACTGTATAGAATGGTTAGACATTGCATAGAATACCGGATTACAGTGTCAAACAGAAATAACAGATTTGATTATTTTGTCTTCATTAAATACTTTGCCAATGCACGACTGACATTCTACACAATACGTATCCAGATGTCACGAACTTCTTGCTTTTTGTTTTTTTTTTTGCTATGTTTTTGTTTTGTATTAGTATAGATGTATTCTTATTAGACTGTGTCGTGAATTACATTTACTATTGTGTTTACAAGTATATATATTATCATTGGTTTCTTTCTCCACATTCGTGCTCATTTTTGTGGTTTTCTTCCCTCCATTATCATACAGTCCATATCGTTCACTTCACGTAGATTTTACTTACAATGTCTAGGTAATATGTATAACGAATATTAACTACTTACGCATTGCCTAAAGGAATCCGATATTGCGTATTGCAAAATGACAAGGAATTGTACACAAATTATGAATTATAAACATTTGAGTATAGTTTTAAAAAGAAAAGTTAACTTAGTTATGAGCTGAGTATTAATATAATTATTTCAGTATAATCCACCATTTAATGGACGATTTAATCCACCATTTTATGTAACAATTAAGTAACTTAAATATACCCCCTTACTTATTCTCCACTTCATAAAATTTACCAATAATAGGTGTGATGATTATCAATAACACTTTTTCTAACTTGACGGCCTCCGTGATCAAGTGACTTCCACACTGGTTTTACACACAGTAGAAGTGCTTAGTGCGCGTGGTACGTGTGCCAACGATATATGGAGTTCTACATAATTGAGCCCAGTCCGCCATTTTCGCTTTGTACGTTATGGCCGTGTCAATTGTCAAAACCTCGAAAACTGTAGAAAATTGCATCTTTGGAATATAAAATAACAGTCGCACTTGTAATATTATCTGTAGTGGTGTTTAATTTTAACAAATTTTCAATTTTCTGTTTATCGTAATAATTTTTTTGTTACAAGAAAGTAAACCTCATACCGCTGCAATATGGCCGATTCTTTTTTTGGAGAACTCAGTGAACATATCGAATTCGTCATTCAGCTATTGACCACTAGATGGCAACACACTGACTGAAATTTCCATATAAAATCAAAACGTCGTAACTTGCAATAATAGATATTGAACTTTTAACGATATGCCAACAGGGTAAAGTTTAAATTATAACAGACCAGAATTTGTTACTTCTTTTTAAATCAAAACTACGACCAATCATTATCAAGACTTCATAACATTTCAAATGACGAATGTGTGAGTTTTGGTGACAGCGGTTCTGATAGTAATTGAGGCTTAACACACTTGCATTGCTTTTTTTTCTTCCGTGGGTTTTTATGGTGTCGCCATCTCTGAGGTCCCGAGTTCGATTCTCCACCGGGTCAATGTAGAATGTGTGTGTTTTCCGATTTCCATAACATAAGTGCTTTGGGATCAAAGAAACGGATGTGATGTTGTTGATGTTGCTGTCTAATAACGGGATCTTATTATGTATTTATATATATTTATAATTTTAATCATCACCATGTATTTCAATGTATCTGCTGTAACTTATGTTGACGAATAAATATATTATTGGAATTTTATTAGTATTCTCTGAACCGGCTTTCTCAATCGCTACAACTTCTGTATTATGGTAGAATATAGGTAGAATGAGAGAGTCGTTGGCCTGTAAATGACAAAAACCCAGTCTAAAAAAGGATGCGATGAATAATCCTATATATATATATTCTATATATTATAACCTATATATATTAGGAAACAAGTTTTCGTTTTAATTATAGAAATGCTGGGCAAACTGGTTCTATAAAGAATAATTTATTGAAATGTAATACCTATGTACCTATATAAATTAATTATAACTTAATATTAGTTGAAGTCCGACGGGGAAAACCGCAAAAATAGACCGCTGCATATTAATGTTATCATCATATTATTGTGTTTGTTTTCCGCCACGCCTTTATTACTGGAATTTGAGTTAGAGTAGGAAATCGAGTAGGTAATAATACGTTTTAATTTTGTAATAAGACATTTTACTGCATAATTTCCTAAATAATAATCCTAATTACAATTACAAACCTAATAACCTAATTGGTTTGACTTATCGCCTCGCAAGCAGAGGCCGTGATTTCGAATCCGATAAACTCGGGTTTTTCGGAATTTATATGCGCAGTTAAATTTGAAATTTATTATCAGAAGCTTTTCGGTGAAGTAATACATCGTGCAGGTCTCCTGCACGTCGAAGAAGGTTCACAACTCTTGGAAAACGTGTGATGTTCCTAACCCATATTGAGATGAGACCTGTGCCCAGCAGGAGGGCATATAAATTGGTTAATGTCTTGGTAGCGGTAGAGCTAATTGTGAAAAAGTTTTCACATTAGCTGAATACGTTTGGTGTGGGAAGTTAAGAATTCAATAATATGAAATTGCACTTGTATTTTTTTTCACCTTATATTTCCTATTTATCATTTTTTCCAGTTTACAAGTAATTTATTGACAGGTGTGTGCCATTGGAATTAGGTTTGCCCAGTTCATGATCGATTTCACAGGTGGTAACAAAATTATCTTATGATGACTACAGTCACCAGCTGGAAGATTTTTTTTACTACGGCCTATAGAGCGACTGGATTACAATAGTTTTATTAAAACTACCAACATAGACATCACATTTCAAAATGGAAATTAAGGAGCTAACAAGAGAGAACATAAAGTCTGGCAACTTTGTTGCCCAAAGCATTGTCATTTCATGTACAGGGACTGTCAAGTGCAGTTTTCTATTTCTGTTTGTTTCAAACAGAAATTACAGGCACATGGGACTTGTCAACTTATGTCTCAAGGTGCGCAGTGACAGTGCCCCTTAGATCTTTGCGATTTAAAGCTCTGAGGGGCACTACAACTGTTATGGACAGGCGTGTCGCTAACCACCAGGCGCACGACTTATTCGTCCCATCAATTGCTATCATAAAAATAATATTAAACATCAATCATCTTTCCAGAAACTCGAGGCCTAAAAGACCCACTCCAAATCGAAAACCTCCAAGACCAAGCTCAAGTAATGCTCATGACACACGCCAGAACAGCCCACGGTGCTGCGCCTGCAAGATTTGGAAGATTATTGCTGCTCCTTCCACTGTTGCGTCTGGTCACCCCACATCAGCTCGAAAGGGAGTTCTTTGCTAAGACTATTGGACAGACGCCTATGGAGAAAGTGCTTGCAGATATGTATAAAAATTGAACTGGATTTCACGAAAATAACTTTAGCAGTTAAAAGCACGTAATTAATTGGTAAATTCTTTCCAATGTGAATAAAATCTAATGCTTAAAACTGGGGGCTGTCTAACCTTTTGCTATGTTATCCTTACCGTGCATAGGTTAGAAGAATAGATATATCTATGGCTAGAAGCATAGATATGTTAGAAGTGCCAGATGGCGAAACAATGTCCGAACAATATCATCTCTGAAGTAAAGAACTTTGAAGAACTCGGACTCGAGCAGTCCAATCCAGAGATGGGCAAAGGTTTAAAACCCAATCAATTCGTCCGGGTTGAACCCATTCCTACCCAAAATCATTTCAATTTCGTATTTATCATTAAAATTTCGACATAAAAAATGTTTTGTAGACGATAAAGAGCCAACTGCACACAATACCTACGCTACATTATGAATCGATTTTTATGAAGATCGATTTAAATGCATACGGTTTAAAGTCTTTGTGCCAATGTATTTCAATCCGATTTTCAAGGGAATCGATTCAATAGAAAGAGAAATCGAATCGTTTAGATCAGAAAGCAATAAATATTTTATAATAACCATTTAATTTTAACAAAACTCGATTTACACAAATATTTAGTTGTACAGGGTGAAGAGCACGTCAAGCTTGACGCTTAACACTTAAATCAAACTCTATGCCGCTTACGATAAGAACGGTCTAAAGTGCAAAGTATAAAGTACAAAGCTTGACGTGCTCTTGACTGTACCTGAATACTTTTTGCACTCGATTTCGGGCGTTAATTTTAACTCAATTTGAACTCGGCTATAGCTCATCTCTGGTCCAATTACGTTAAATCGTAATATCCCACCAACTACGGTCTTAGCTAAATTTGTTACGATCATATGAATTAGAACCAATCTTGGAGAGTTGCTGTCTCAGGACATGACGAGGTGTGACAAGATAGACTGTACGTCTTATTACGGTTAACTCGAAATCTCCTAACACGACTAGGTTACCTGATTGATGAATAAAATAACTGATGCATGTATGAACGCGAATGAATTGGGGGTTTTTATCTAAAGTCTAAGCCAAATAATAATTTATTCCGTAGGTAAAAAAATACATTAGAAAGCGTCACATTTAAGCTACTGCTCGTTCACTACGCTGACTTCCCTGAGAAGAACGAGCAAGAAACTCTAAGCATTACTCTTTTCAAATAAACTTAGATGCTATGGGATACACTTTGAATCATAATTGTGTAGAATCTAGAGCCATGTCGTCTTTCCATACATGTTAAAAGGAATAGTAATATTTTTATGAAAAATAGTGACAGACATAACATTAATACGAGGAATAAAAATAAACTAGCTTTTCTTGATAGTCGTCTTCACAAAGTCAAAAAATCATTTAAGGGGCAATGTATACGCTTCTATAACAAGATTCCGGTTGATATACAAAATTTGCCTTTCACGAGGTTTAAAACTATAGTGAAACAAAAACTTTATACTAAAGGTTATTATACAACTTCTGCGTACTTGGATGACAAAAATCCGTGGTAGTAACCCGTTTAGCTCATGGAGGTAGTCTCAATCTGATGTTTCAAATAAAAAAATATTGTAAATGTTATTTACAAAGAGCAACCCCTAGAGTTTCTTGCTCATTCTTCTCAGGGGAATCTGCCTTACGAATGAGCGGTAGAGTTTAACCATTGTGACGATTTCAAGTGTAATAATGCTTACCTATGAAATAAAGATTATTTTGAATTTGAATTTGAATACATCTTTATCTAACAAATACTCTTCAATTTTTAACTGACTTCAAAAAAAGGAGGAGGTTCTCAATTCGACTGTGTTTTCTTTTATATGTATGTTAGGGGATAACTTTTATAGTAATGATAACTCGATAATAATTTGTGAACCGATTTTGATTATTCATTTTTGTTGTTGAAAAGAGTACCTCAGATGTGGTCCCATTTAAATTTGAAGAAAATATTCCACCTATAAGGGTGGCAAACTAGGGGATGAATGACTTTTGAGGTCGGTTTTTTAGTACTCTATACTGTTTTGTAATATAACATTTCAATCAAAATATTTTTAATTTCTTTTCTACTTTTAATCAAATTTTTGAAGTTGTGGAAGTTGTTTTTTTTTTAATGATAATGACAGGAATTCCGTGTTAGGATTTCGGGTTAATTCAAATTATTATACAGGGTTGTTTGTAAAATACTAAAAACCTAGCAGGACTATATTACTTATGTATTATACTTATATTAACTTCATAAACAACAACTTTTGTTCCATTACTTCTTAGAAAACATAATAAATTAACCTTGTTGACGACCTTCGCGGTCAAGTGGCTTGCACACCGGTTTTCATGGTGTCGCCATCTCTGAGATCCCGGGATTGTTCCCCGGTCGGGTCAATGTAGGATCTAACCTTTCTGTATTGATAGATAGATAGATAGTTTATTTGCCAACAAAGCACACACATTACATGAAATACAAAGACAGAACAAACAATTAAGTAAATACTTAAAAACGAACAAAAACAGGATTGTATAAACAACAAATATAAAAACAAATCAACTTATAATAGAAAAATGTATCATGTGTGCTGCCATGGCGCATAGGATGCAGCTCAGTGTACAACCGTCGCAAAAACGACGCGCTGATTTTCAGCTATCTCTCATAAGGTTACGCGGAATAAAATGTGAAGAGAAAAAGATTGTTGTCTGTGCAAAATTTATTGTTGTATGTGTATGTGTATGGTCCTGCGTCTGAGTATTTGTGGTACCACCGTTGTTTCCGATTTCCATAACACAAGTGCTTTAGCTACTTACTTTGGGATCAAACCAATGTGATGTTGTGTAATAATGTTGTACTGTCTAACACTTTTTCAATGGCGGACTTGCAGTTTTGGCTGCCGTAGACCCCAAGCCATAAATCAGTACCAGCATCCGTTCATTAGGTTTTGAGTTTATCACGATCAGACAGATAGACAGACGTAGTGATGTAGTGATTATACATTACATTATAGATAATATCGCACTATTAATACAATAGTGTACTAACTCAAAATGGATATTTTTTCCAGAATCGATGAAAAACGAATTACTGGTTTTCCGTGAAAGATTATTGAAATTTATATAATTTATATTTAAACCTACACGGTTAAAGTTTATTACAGACATCTAAACAATTTTCTACTCGCCAAATATACTGATATTTGCGTAAAGACTTACATAAAGTTTCGTCTCATTTTGTGTTAAGTACAGTTACAACACTATTGTAATAGTGCAATAATTATCTATATATTATTTTCTCGTTATCGTCAGTGAATTTTTTGTCACAATTGGCTTCCCTAAAATCTAGGCGCCCTTAGCCCGAGCTTACTGGGCCTTGGGGCAAATCCGCCACTGCACTTTTTGGATCTGTATTTTGGTAGTAAGTCCAAAACCAACTGGCCACCTTCGATTCAATCGACAAGCGTCCCATCCCAAAAGGCTTATAAGTGACTCGGAATTAGTTGAGGCGAAGCGGAAGAGCCTTGAACACCGCCGTAATGTTGCCTGCATATCGGTATTCTACAGGATATAGGTATCACGGAAAGTGTGGAATTGCATAATTTGATTCCGGCTTTCCCTTTCTATATTCGGGGGACTAGACGTGGGCTGGGATTCCACCTCTATGTTGTGGATATTCCCATGATTCACACGAAGCGTTTCGCTTCCACATTTATATGGCGAGCGTCTAGAGAGTGGAATTCCCTGCCGACTTATTCCCCGAACGCTATAACTTGGACCTTTTCAAGGCGAGAGTAAATAGGCATTATCTAGTTCGTCGACTTCATCATCACTTTCCATCAGGTGAGATGGAGGTCAAATGCGCATTTATTTTTTATTAAAAAAATACTACAACCCGATGCAAAACGCAGAATGCAGAAGCGACGACCTCCACCCCCGCGGTGGAGGTTGTCGGGTTGGAGGTCGTCGCTTCTGCATTCTGCGTTTTGCATCGGACGGGTATTTACGTGTTACCGCACAGAGTTATCACCGATCTATTTTTGTTGTGAATGAAAGCATAATTTGATTTATTAAAAGTTATGGAATAAAAATTGTTGTTTAGGTTGATAGTAGGTACTAATATAGTCCTACAAGATTGTTAGAATTTTACAATAAGTCTGTATAAATACTGACTATTAGATGTAAAAAAAGTTTCGAGACGATGTTACTCAAAAACAATTGAGTGTGGTAATAGGTACTTAAAACAACACACACTACGTTCATTTGTATTAAGATTTAAATTTGTGTATTTTGGACTAAGATAAAATTATCAAAAAATTTGCCAATTCGAAGCTACTTCAACAATGGCGACCCATTTATATAGGTACGTGCAATATACAATTTAATACTAGTCATATAAGCTTGTACATACATAGCTTACTGTCTGAAACGAATTATGGCCTCAATATTTTGTTTATATTTTGTAAATTATAACCTCACATAACCTCAAAATCTTATATATTCAATCTAAAACAAAACTGCGTTGGCAAAACTTCGTAAAAAATCTTACGAAATTCATTATAACAATAAAACAATAAGTTTCGAGCAGAGAGAAAAAAAATACAATAAAGTATAACGTTAAACACACAATTATTATATCTAATAAATTTTTAAAGCAAGAATTTAAATAAGTATTATTAGGTGTCTAATCATTGTTATTTTTAAGCGTTATATACATATACTTATGTATTTCCTATATCTGCCTACGTACAGAATCCCGATAATAATACCCCGAGATAAATAAACCTGATACTCATTACCAAGGCATTGACTATTATCAAACATTAATATGTAATAACTTTAGTTCTGCGCCTTTTTGTATTTCTCACATTTTTTTGTAAACTTCCCACGCACCTATCTCCTGGGTTTCTGGTCGTAACTGAGTGGCAATTTTTATTATTTTGATATATATTCTAAAATATTATCACGAAGTATTACTTCATGTCAGTCAACCGTGACCATGG